TCGTCCTGGGGCTCCCTGGGCCGCTCCCGCGGCCTCGGCTCTGGCTGGGCCGAATGCGGGCCTGGGGCTGGGGGGGCGGCCCTGCGGCGGGGCCGGGGCCCAGGGCCGCCAGCTGGATTCTTCGTTGGCGGATCGGACGACCTGGCCGGGGGCCCTGGAGGCCGCTGGCGGGCGCCCAAGGGCGGCCAGTTCAGGTGTAACGTAACGCTGGTTAGGAAGGTGGTTTTGCAGCGCGCAGCCCCCGGGCGCCGTCGGGGTCGTCCGGCGGCGGGTTCGAGGGTGTCTTGGGTTGCCGCCGTCGTTGCCCCGCCCGATGCTGCCCCCCATGCCATCCCGCTCGTCCAGCAAGGCGCTGGGGGGGTCGCCGGGGGACCCCCTCCCCAGGGGGCTGGCGGGCAGGGGTCCCCCACGGCAGCGTCTGGCGCCACCAGCCACGCCCCCTGGCCGTGGGGAGGGGCCACCGCGGGCTGGGCGCTAGGAGGCCCACCTGCGGAACATATAAGTGCCCGCGCCGGGCGGCATGGTGTAGCGAGGAGGCGTAGGAGGCGGAGCGTCGCCGAGGGACAGTCTCTCTTTACGCATGCCCTCGCTCGCGCCTCCGCCACGACCCCAATGCGAGATCCGTGGCGAGGCGGGCGGCCTGGGCTATTTGAAACGCCTCCTGCGGCGCGGGGCGGTGGGCGGACCGCCTGCTGCGCGCATGGAGGAGGCGATGCTGAGGGAAGAAAATCACAAGCCTCCTGAGATGGGATGGCGTGCAGGGAAAGAGGGCAAGACGGGCAGGGACGGGTTCCGGTTCAGGGGCAGGAGGGGGACCATGCCGAGCGCCAGAGACCATGGCGACGAGCCAGTGAACAGAGAAGCAGTGGATATAATGTGATAGGCTATCTCGGCAAGCGCAGCCGAGCAGGCAGCCTCGATCGACGTTACGCAATCGGGTGTCCGTGACCCATCCCCCAGTCCACGTGCGGAATGCCGCGAGGCGCCAAGATGGGGGGGACATCTCAAGGACACCTCGCACCTCCGACCCGGAGAACTCGTGCGAAAATTCGGGGGAGGAGGAGGAGGAGGAGGAGGAGGGGGAGGAGGAGGAGGAGGAGGAGGAGGAGGAGCATGAGCATGAGCATGAGCATGAACGCTATGGGAACTCCTGTCGATATAACTATGGAACTAGCTACGACTTATACAAACGTTGCAGTGCACTACTCTGAAACCCAGAAATTGCAATACAAAACTCCAGCGTGGCATTCTTGAACGCCCGTATTCGTGAATGGCCAGGGGCCCTGGCGGCACGCTGTCCGCGCGGGGCCTGAGGGGCAAGCCACGACGGCACACGGCCTAGAGCCGCCCCCCCTGGCACCACCAAAAAAGTTAAAGCTGGCGCCCCTTCCTTCCACGACCTCTACCCTTCGCTCGAGGTTCGCGGAGGATTTCGATCAGAGCCCCCACACACACACACGCATACACACGCACACACCTATCTACAGCGTCGATGGGGGGGCCCAAATTTGTTCCGATCGCCAGAGAGGGATTCGAAGAGGAGGACGGAGGATCAAGAGAAGGACCGAAGAGCCTGGAGGCGATCTCGAGAGCAGGACCCGAAAGCCGTCCTGCAAAACAAATTCCTTTACTCCCTCTCATCACTTCTTCTTCAGCCGATCGAGCAGCGCCTGCCCCTCTCGCTCGAGCGCCCCCCTCGGAGCACCGCCCAGGGTGGGCTCCCCTCCGGCCTTCGCGAGCTTTCACTCGAACAGGCGCTGGGCGGTGACTCCGATCCCCGTCGGCTGGAACAGGTACGTGATCTTCGCAACCTCGGGCTTCCCCTCGACCTTCTTCGCGCGCTTGCAGAGCAGGTGGCGCACGTCCAAGGATGCCTTCAGCATGCCGTCCTCCTGGCGCAGCACCTCGTCGCAGTACTTCTTCAGCTTCGCATGTGACTCGCCGAGCGGGGTCTGAGTCGCCGCTACGCGGCTCTCCTCGATCTTGACCAGCTGCTCCACCAAGGCTACGTGCAGCGCCGGGGAGGGCGGACCCTGCGTGTTTCTGAAGCGGGTCTTCTCCTTTGGAGAGCGCCTCCTTCTTCGCCTTGGCCCAATCCTGCGCCTGCTGGTTGTGCCCGACGCCAGACTCGAGCAGGCTCCCCACTATGGCGGTCTCCACGGGCGTCAGCACGGTGGTGAGGATGGCGCCTGCCAGGGCCCTCGTCTCTGCCGCGTTGGACAGAGAGAGCTCGGCGGTGACCTCCGTCAGCGCGTCGAGTGTGGCACGCCTCGACTCTCCTCCTGCTCCGCCGCCACCGCGGCTGCTGCCCGCGCGCCGCTTCTGGTCGCTCGTCTCGGCCGAGCACCCAGGCAGGCCGATTCTCCATCTGCAATCTTCTGAGAGACGAACTTCCCCAAGGCCGAGCTCCAAATTCCCGATCGCTAAAGAAATGAGCACGGACATGGACCTGGGGCCCTCGAAGAGACCCGCCTTCAAAGTCACGCACAAGGCATTTATAATGTTTAGGTTCACGCACATGCGGTAGAGCGGTAACATGTTCTTTCCAACATTATCCTCTCTTGAAACTATTTGCTAGATGTCTGTGTGCCAAGGTCTTGGGCGTGTAAATTTCCAGACAGCCAGGACATTGAATTGTACATGCTAACACGCTGCTAAGACTACGAACTCCATAACCTGCCCGAATATGTGTGTATAGCTTCTTCTTAGTAGTAAAAGCCTCCCCGCAACGTGCCCCATCCGCGTGGAACATGCATGTAAACGCCGATTCTTCATGCACCCCTTCAGGAAGCCCCAAGCCTGGCCATAGGAACCTCTGAGACCCACAACTTCGGACCCAAAGAGACCAGGAGGAGGAACCATCTTCCCAATAACCTGCCTTCGAAGGATCTCTGGGTCTAGCTTGCAGAACTCCTCGCTGACCTCTGAGTCGGAGACAAATACCGAGATCTTTCCTTCTGCGATGTCCAGAAGGTCCTCGCACTCCGAGGCTTTGCATAGCTTCGCGATTTCTGCCCGAGCTCGTTCGGCCCAGGGATTCGCATCAGCAGCAACTGCTCCGTCAACCAACGTCGGCGTCTTATCAATAGGCAAACGCACGTGCAACTTCCTGAAGATGATTGTGGGGGCGCCTGATCCACTGCTGCAACCATTTTGCACGGGCAACCCGGACCTCGATCTTCATCGGAGCAATGCCCCAGTGCCGTAACACTTCCAAGTTGGACAACGTGTTTTACATGCGCGCCCCCCCCCCCCCCCCATCTGCAGCACGGCCACTCATGGCCGCGCGGCCGTTATGTGCAATCTTACGGTCTCGCCTCTGAAACTCATTGTTCGATGCCAAACAAGATTCCAAGTTAGCTCGGGCAGAATTAACCACCCCGCACAAGGATAGACATCTCAACCACCTCCACGGGATTCTGAGAGATTCCAGATGACCCCCACACGATGACATGACCTAGTAATAGCCTCCTCCCTCTTAGCAATCTCCGCCCCGCACTGCCCCGATAATGCAGCTGGCCCCCAGGACTGCGTTCAACGTCGTGGATGCTGCCCAAGATAGGTGGCTGCTTGAAACCGCGACGGTCGATATGTCTCAGAGCCCTCCTTCCTAGGCCAGCACCTGGACCGACTAAAGAAAATAGTTGTGATTGCTCGGTGGCGCTCTGCTGATGGCCTCTCCGCGCTAAGAAAGCGTCGAGGGAGGTGCTGGATGTCTGCGCCCCCTTGCAAAGTTGCGAAACTCCCGCTCCCCATTCTCGAACATCTCCTTCATCTTCGATAAAGAACATTACCGCATCGTCAGCGCATTTTGTTAGCGAGACATCCACCACTGCATCTGCAAAAGGATGAGGAACCAAACGTGCGTGAGCCTGCTCGCCATGCTCTCTCTGGGCCCCCTGCCATCCTTCGATGGGCGGCCAGAATGCGCGGCAGAAGCTATGCGCAGCAAATGGATCCCCCATCAAGGCGCCAGAGCCTGTCTTGATACCAAAGTGCCCGTTGGACAGGGGAAGACGCGCCGTGGCCCCTTGATAGCGCTGCTGAGCAATCACTCGATCTCGTGGCAAAAAAAGCCGATGAACTGCATCGTCGAGGGCGCCCCACGACGAAGCTCCAAAGGCATTGGCCATGTCCTTGCCTTGAGGCAGACTCGAGTAGCCTAGCTCGCGTACACGATGCGCGCTGCGCTGCTGAACTAGCACTGCTCCTTCCTGTCGGCAACCGCGGGCTCATCCGCGCTCGCGCGGTGGTAAAAACGCGGGGCTCCGCCCCGACGCATAGCTTCTGCAAAGAATCCCTTCCCCAATACGCCTAGCAGATGCACCGCCCTCTTCCCCGTCGCCCCGTCCACCGCCTTCTCGTGTAAAGCTACTCCCTGACTGCGGCGCCAGGCAACTGGCGTCCGCATCGAAGCTCGAATCTTGACAAATCCGCGCAACGTAACCTGCTGAAAAAGCTGGTGTGTCTCGGCCTGGACTCCGAGCGACCCAACCGGCTCCTGCGAGTTGAAAAGCCAGTCGGCCCCCTGGTCGAAGCAACATCAACCAAATCTCCAGCGGCACAGAATCAACTGGACATGCTCTCCTTTTTGGGGCCCGTTTCAAATAATACCTTTGAGCTCCTCCTCCGCCTCCTCCAAATAATCAGTCCACCTACCTGGCCCGGTAATGGCCGTCTAAAGCTTGCGCGCGCGGTAGTCTTGAAAATCCACTTTTCTGGACAGCCCCCCCCCAGGAATCTTTCATGCCTCAATCCACTCCTCCTCCGCAAGAGCAGAGCCTTGCAAATGCGAGTGGTTCCGTTCCTTAATACCCCAAGAAGAGCCTGACGTCAATCTAGAGCACGGGTGTGCTTCCGCAAATCGGCGGTCTCGCCAGGCATCGCGCAATAGCTCTAAATACATGCGTTGCTGGTTCACCCACTGCTTCCTTCGCTCCGTATGGGCTGCTGCCGTGACCTCCTTAAGCTGATGAACTACCTCCTCCTCTTCCTCAGTGGCGAACGATAACTGGCGACGAAGTTCTCGTCTGCAACGGAGAAGATCCTCGCGTCTCTGGCGACGCTCAGCTAGCGACCTCGAATCGGATTGCTCCGCACAAAAGAACTCGAGGCCGCGTCGATTCAATATATCATTCACTACCTCAAAGAAGCTGTCGGGAGTGGGCTGAGCCAGAAGGTTCACGAGCTCGCGCTCTCTGCCAGCGAATTCTTCTTCAACTGCAGCAATCAGCTCTTGACGGCGAGTCCCTCGCGTAAGAGCTTCCATGGGAGAAGAGAGATCCCATCTAAACCTACCAACATTCTTCCCCCAGGTAAGAAAGATATCTTCCATGCTGCATGTATGGGTATGTGATCTCGTGGACTGCGCGTACGTATATGTTGCACTTCTCGGCCTAGCTTACGGAGCACGCCCGCCTGGTGCAAGTGGCCCACGAAGGCACGAGGAACAAACAACATATCAAGTCGTTTCTGCTCCCCCTGAGGCCCGTTCCAAGTCGGGGTGAAGGGGTGCCCTCCGTCGACGAAAACGAAATCAAACTCCTCGAGTACTTTCCGAAGCATTCTCCCAGAGCCAGACTGGTAGAGTTCCCTCGAGGCGACCGGCGCACGAAGAACAGTGGTACCAGAAAAACCGCCCGTCTCCTCCTCAACCCCCATCCCGTCATTCAAATCCACTGCTAAGATAGGCGTAGTCCTGCCACGTGCCCTCCTCAGCGTGTCGCTGATCCACTTTGTCAGCAGCTCCACCGTCTTGAAATAGTTCGGCCTGGCTGCTAACATTCTCGGCTTCGGAAGGAAATAGGCGGCGATGGGTAGGATATCAATACCGCGGAGTTTGAGACGAAGTCCCAGTCCCCGTCCATGTAGAGACCGAGGTGGCAAGAGGATGGCCAACGATGTTGGTTTCTTTCACCATAGAGCCCAGAAGGATACCGCACCCAGCAGCCTTGTTTGTAAACGGTCCTGGGAGCCATCCCGCCTGGATAAACACATATTTCCCGATTCTCTTCCTCGTAACCTGGCCATCCGCTGGAGCCCTCAGCTGCGTTCCTATGAACATTGGCACGTCGAAGCCCCTGAAATGGAACTCTAACTTCTCGCTGCGGTCGGCCCGATTTGCGCTCAGGGGATTGAAGGCCGAGACCCGCAGCCATCTCGATCAGGTGGCGGCCCCCGACATCGACCATCAAGTCGGGATAGCATAATGAAACACTTGCATGTGTGACGACCTGACGCCACCGAGCGACCGACGAATGCTTGTGCCGACATGTCGCTGGAGGAGGAGGAGGAGGAGGAGGAGGAGGAGGAGGAGGAGGAAGAGAAGGATGAGGAAGAGAAGGAGGGGGAGGATGAGGAGGTCAGAGAACGAGGAGGGATGTATGGATGCCTTTACAACGCTCAACACCTTGCTACAACGTTCTGCAACCACCCTCCTCTCAAGCATCAAATCAGATCTGTTCAGAAGTTCAAAGCGCACATCACTGGAGGAGGGAGTGCCGCCAGAGGAGAGGCTTCTTCCCATAGGGAAGTTCCAGGCAGCAGCGAGGCTCGACTCCAAAATGTCGAGTGACCAGACAGCCAAATAGGCATGAGCGCCAGCTGATGATTGCGCGTGCTGTGCTGGGGTTCGCTGCTGCACTTCTGCTCCAGTGGCCGCGCCTGGATGTACAGGATGTGCCACGAATGCCAGCCACCAGGAGAGCCCGAGCAGTGTGTGAATCTGGAGCGGGCGGCCCACCAGTGAGTGGATGTCAGTCAGGCCACTGGCGGTGCTCGTGTCTGCTGCAGGGCCTGTCGGTCGATCCCCCCGCAGTCCCGCCCCACCTCTGCGGGATGCCCCAGGGTTGAGACAGGGCTGGATCGGGGATTGCGATCGAGCAGCTTATTTTTCTTTACTCGCGGCACCGCCCATGTCTGAGCACGCGCGCAGCAGAGGCACGAGGGCACCTGAATGCTGATACTGCACCTTCGTTGTCGCTTTGATGGCCGCTCGTTGTCCGCTTGGCCACGTTGTTGTCAGTATGCCGTGTTCGGATGGAGCGAGGCCCCTGTGGTCACCATGCTTGCCTCTGCAGCGTCGGAGCCTTTCGGACAACGACGGTGTCTGAGGGGTGCAATGAGCATACAACACCACAGAAGCGTCCACTGCGGCGGCGAGTGCTGTCAGGGAGCAACCAGCAGGCCACCAGCAGGCCTGCAGTGCCGTTCGAGTCGACGCAGGCGGCGTCGCAAACCTCGGCATCACTGCGGCATCCTTGGAATGAATGCTCCTAGAGGACATACAGCCTTAACAGAGTCGTGTCCTTCTAGTCCTCCTCATCCTCCTGTTCCTTCTCTCCCCCTCCTGCACGGATGGAGGAGGCAAAAGGATCAGGGCCTCGTCTCAGTCCCGGGCCCATTTGTGCACCCCGCCGCCGCAGTCGCAGCACGCCTCGTCGGCGGCTACGCCGTCAACCGCGTACATATCGAAGTTGCCCAGGGTGGCCGTGTCCCTGGGCTCGTCACGCGTGCCGTTCTCTTCCCCCTCCCCCTTCCGTTTCCCTCCTGAATATACGGTCAAGAACTTTTGCTTCGCGTGCCGCGGTGGCGGCCCTGGCGACAAGGAGTGCCCTGCAAGCGGATAGCGTGTCGCTCCGTTCCGCGGGGCGGGGAGCTGGGACAAACTCGGCATGTGGACTTCTGGGGAGCGCCACGTGGACAGCGTGTCACCCCGAGGCGTGGTGGGCCATCACCCGTGGAACGACACGCTATCCAGACGCAAAACCGGCCGACAGCCGGCCAATCACGGACCTCCAGACCTACATGTTGACAAACAGTGTGTCGCGCTCGTTTCTCTGCAGAGTTGACCTCCCCAATCAGCGAAGCTACATTTTTCGCACGCAACTTCGTCGACGCGCGCGACGACGAACATGTCGTTCTCGCCTCGGCGCCGCGCAGATTTCGACTGAAAGTGGCGCCCCGCCAATCACGTCGCACTCTTGTCATTCGACAATTTTGGGAGGCCCGCGCGAGCGGGCGAATTGTCGCCCTCGTCCATGTTCCGTGCGCAGTTCGAAAAGGCATTCCCGCGCGGGCGCGGCGCATGGACCGTTCGCCGACTGACATAAAACCGGCAGAAGCAGCGGAACCGCACAAGAGCGGGAGAAATGCCGATCTCGCCCAAGCCCCGAGCATTTTGCAAGTGAATGTGTCAGTGCTGTGCCAACGCGGTGCATGTTTCGTCGTTGCCGCGCCCATCGGAAATTATGCCGCTCGCGGCCCCCGTACTCTTCCCTTCGAGCAGTCGGAAGAAAGGCCTCGAGCAAGTGCCTTCCGTTTGATAGGTGGAAACGCGCTCCAATCCCAATATCATGCTGCACCACACTTGAATGTCGTGGTGTGGGGGGAAGGTGGGAAATGGCGAGGCCTTCTGACTCGCTCGACCTGGCTAACCCGACTCCTCCTTTTCTTCCTGATTATTGTTCGCATCCGCCTCCTGGAAGCTGGGCGCTGGTGACTCTGGGCTTCGTCCGAACGCAACCTTTCCTCCTCCTCCTCCTCCTCCTCCTCCTCCTCCTCCTCCTCCTCCTCCTCGGTCGGTCGGTCGGTCGTAAGGCGGAGAGTCGACGCCAGAATGGAGAGACGAGGGCGAGAAAACCACTGGGTGAAGAACGGAGCAGCAGCAGCAAGCAGACCAGCAAGTGGATCTGAGCAGATAACAGCGCCTGTAGGCGCGATCCCACTGTGGCCGTGGGCTGGCACAAACATACACAAGTGGTACTATCGTCGCTTAAAGTGGATGGGCACTTAAGAAATGAGCAGGAAATAAGGGGGGCTTAAGAAGAGAATAGACCTTCCCCCTTGGTAGGCAGGAGTGCTACTGCCTGAGGTGCAGCAAAGCTTCCAATGTGGAACACTTCGCACCATGCAACTACTGCCAAGAAGGTGGCGCGCCTGGCGGAGCTTTGGTGGGCTCGGCAATCCTTCATTGCATGACCATTCACACTCCTATCTAGTGCGTGGTGGTCAGCCACGTTTGCAACTCTGCAACTCAATCGGATAATGATGAAGAGAAGACCAGAGAAGCAGACCGTCACGTCACATCACACACTCGGGTCCGTCTGAACTGTGGTTTGGTGGATCATGCAATCCATGGCCATCGTTCCAACCACGTAGGGGTCGAGTGGGGATATGAACCGTCGTAGTCCTATCGGAACCTCCCATCCGTCGTCACAACTGCTGAGGTCGAAACTGCTCCTGAGTGAACGCTCGTCATTGCGGGCCCATCGGAGCCTGCTCGCAGCTGCAAACGGGCGAAGGGAGGGGAAGGGATTATGACTTATCGCAGGATACCGCTCCGAAATCTCCTGAACCAGCGAAGCTGCCAAAACCTGGCACAACTGGGACGGACATGACTTAGTACGCACAATTCGCCAAGAACAGCTACCTACCCCCGATAGACCCCTTATGCGGCTGGGGGTGGGTGCACATGCCTGCCCCATCTCTAGCGCCCAAGAGGGTGGCCATGGCTGGCAAGTGGATGGCCAGGAGGGTGGTGGGTTTCAAGGCTCTCGCACCAAACATGCACTGGTGAAAATGGTGAGCCTTGACCCCAGGGAGCCCCAGAAGCCGAGTGAACTGGGGGAGAAGCCAGGCACCAGGGACCTCGGGATCCACGGGGTTGATGGAGGGATGCCCCATGATGGCTGGCACCTGGTGAACCCAAGCCTCGTGCAATAGCCTAACTGTAGTGCGCAAGAGTACATTGTCCTGCCTTACCTGCTCACTCCCACGCCGGTTGAGATGCCCTAGCCCCCACAAATGACATGCATTGCGAGGGGGTCGAAGGGGTCGCCTTCCTTCAGGCGCGTCGCGGCGGGCAGGCGAGACTCGCGCCGAAGACCAGGTTCCACAGGGCGGCCCCGCAATTACGGCCGCCACGCGCCCCGAGCGAAGGAGAGAAATCCAGAGGGCAATCGCGTCAGGTGCCGTGAGATCCCCAAGAACTGGATGGTCGGGGATATCCACGCTCAGAACCTCCACATTAACAGGAAAACGCCCCACGATTTTCTCGACATGCCATTGGAAATCATAAAACTTCCGACACCCCGAGAACAGGTGCAGGATAAACTTGAGGGGCCTGGTGGGGAGCGAGAAAAAGCAGAAGGCCCCAGGGAGAGGGGGCCCGGGGGGGACTTCAACAACCATGGCAGGACGGGTTTCCTTGATCTGCCTTCGCGTGACTCTGTGCCAGGGGCCAACAGGGGGGCCCTCGCATTGCCTGGGGGGTCTATCTGCAAAGTTGTCGGGCCTCCCTTTCTGGCGGTTGGCCGCCGATGCGCGCCTTGCCTCGAGCCTGGCGCCCTCGACTTCCTGGTCGGTCGGTTGCGCCGCTCCTGACCTGCTCCAAGAAAAGCGGCACGAGGGAGAGTTGCGGAGGTGCTGGGCGAGGCGAGGAACGGAGGAAAAGTCCTTGAAGCACATTTGACAACAAAATCCCGTTGCAAGTCGGGACGGCGCTCCTGGCTCCTTGTGCCACTTGCCCACGTGGGCGCGTAGTTGCTGCTCGGACACAGCTTGGCGAGAGCAAATGGGGCGCGCAAACAAGGCGTCAAGGCAGCAGGGCGTGCCCAAGTGGGTACTCTCTGTGGCCTTGCTCAACTCACGCTCCCATATCAGCCTGTGCTGAACGTCTTGCTCGCATGGCTTGGCGCGGAGGATGGCAGCAGCCAAAATAGAGCGAAACGCGCGAGGGTGGCCGAGTACAAAACGAACCAAACCAGCCGCAGACATATCATCAGGCCTACGAGTCGGTTCAGTATGAAACCACAACCACTCAGCATCCCCCTTCAAAAACTGAGCCCATCCCTTAGTGCAGTCCCAGGTAACATCAACTAATACCCGTGCAAGAGGAGGGGCATGTGCAAGCATGCGAGCAAGGTAACGTAAGCGTGAAATTCACATAACAACGGGGTGGGGGAGCCGCTGGGCGTCATACAGTACCTTGGCCGTTAGGTCATGCTCACTAGCATTGCTAATAGAAACCCAGTTAAGTGCAGTCCTATATACTGTGGTGTGCACTGTAGCTACCATGCGTCCCTGAGCCGCCGTGAGAGCCGGCCACACATTAGCAGCGTAATATAACACTGAAGAGGCTAGTGCCTCTGCATACAAGATATTGGCTCTGGTGGAGAGTGCAGATCGCGGGGCAACTGTTGCACGAATGGGAGCAAGTGCCCCTCTGGCTTTGGAAACCCGAATGGAAACCTCACAGGCCACAGAATTTGGAGCCGAAGCTTGATCTCCCAAAATCTTATGGACCTGGACCACAGGAAAGGAAAACGACCACTTATCAGACGAAACAGCCTGGACGTCTTGGGTGGAAAAGCCTGGCACAATCCTGGGCCCCTTGCCCCTCAAGCAGAACAGGATCTTGGTTTTAGAGCTGTTGGGTCTCAAACCATGCGTGACACAAGCAACATATACTGCTTCAGAGAGAGCAAGAGCGGACCGAGGCATGTCACGCGCGGCTCGCACAACGAGGGAAACAGTTAAGTCATCCACAAAAGAGAGATCAGCTTGTGCTCCCTCCCAGTCTGCCACGGACGCACAAATGAGTTCAGGCGCAGGAAGAGCATGCCTCACTTCTGACTCTAGCTGCGCTACCGACTGCCGAATCTTGAGCAACACAACGCGAAAAACAATGTTGAATGAATCAGTGGCCAGGATTGTTCCTGGTCGCGTGCCTCCTGCAGGCGCCACATAGTCGTCTGCGTTCCTGACCTGCCAACACGTACCCCTCTGAGATTCTCTGATCAGGGCAACTAGGTGGGCACATGTTAAGTTGGCCTCCAGAGGCTTCCGAGACTCAAGGATAGCTTTGGCCCCCTCCATGAGGGCCTCGGGCATAGCCACCTGCTCAAGAGCATCTGCAAGCTTTTCCTCCTCACCAGGAAGAGACAGAGCAAACTGTTTCATGACAGTATAAAAAAGCGTCAACAAGGTCCAGGGAGAGACACAGCAGCGAAACGCACTTTGACTCACATGCCACATTGAGTAGGTGGATACCATGGAGGGGCATCTCGGGTCCTTTGCAGGCCACACCCCCACATTGCTCAGCTAGCAAGCACATGCCACATAAATATAGGGCCAAATTGCGTAAATTCCCATGGCGTAACTTACATATAGTACTGGCCATGGTAATGTTGCGCTGGGCACGTGCTAGCTGGGGTGGTCCAGACCCTTTGTAAAAGAACGTGCCTTCTCCTAGCTTGAAGACCAGAGGCTCACGGACACTCAACGCAATCTTGCAAAGCAACGGGCACAGAGCTCGTGCAACTTCACGCGGGGCAGCCTTCTCGAGCGCAGAGGGAAAACCATCGGGCCCAGGGGACCTGCCTGTTTAATGCTGCGCAGGATAAACTCAATATCAAGCACTGCAGGGATAATGGTAACCTCGCGATCGGGGTTGGCCCGCATCAGCTGGGGCATATCATTAAAGGCTTGGACAATGCCCTGCAGGTCATGTGTCCTTCCAAACTCGACAGCACGAAAATGATCTTGCATATGGTTAATCACCTCCTTCTGAGTGGTTAAGATCCTAGGACACGGCTCAAGTCCCGTATCATCCGCAGCTCTAATCTCGTCAGGAGAAGGGGGGGGGGGGGGGGGGGGGGGGCATCATATGGGAGAGAACATCGGGAACCCGAGATGCACCACCCTTCCTGCCCCCCGCTGCAAGTAGGGACTTGACCTTGTCCAATTGATGCTTCGGCAACTTGACATCTATTTAAAAAGTAATCTCTTTAGCTGTTTCCTCTAGCTGCCAGGTCCGATCAATCTCCAGGAGATTGGAAAGGGTGAGCTTGCTGGAGAGGAGAAAATAAATAAGCCTGTCCCCGAACTCATACATGTCAATAAGGTTGCGTCGGAATCCGCGCGCTGCTGACCTGGCGGGCTGGACAGCTCGTCTCAGCTCACCAATGAGCCTTTTTCAGAGGAATTCTTCAAATCCCCATGCTCTGCTCTTCTGGCAAAGTTCAGCATGGACAGAGCGGCAAGACGAGGAGATGGTGCTGTGACGCCGCTCTCACTAGGGAGGGGCCCCCCTGGGGGGGGTCAAATGAAACGCCCTCGGTCCCTGGGTGCAGAGGCGGTGGCACAAACATGTGCCTCAGTGCTCGTGTAGCCGCTCTCCTCCATATGATCAAATCTAAAGCAAGAGAGGAAACACATTCTTTCTTCGGTGCTTTCACTGGGTACGAAAACACCTGGTTGGCCAATTGTATAGCCTGCTCAGAAAACTTGTCCAGGTCCCAGGGAAACCAACAGAGCAGGGCAAGATCCCTCCCATAACTGGCACACGCAGACTCGTCCTTAAGCTTGCGGGGGTCCAACCTTGGGCACCGCGCCATTTCGTGTGCTTGCGACGTACAGCCCCACGAAAACTCTGCCTGCAATGAGTGATAGTATTTGATGGCCACCAAGTTGTCAAAGGAATAAAGCGCTGCAACCTGGTCAGCCTGCAAGAAGGTGGCAGCATCAGTCATGATGAATTGCAGACGGTGCTTCCCTCCACTGGGCTCAGTGTAGGCGCGTCCGCTCTCAGGGTCCTGAAAGAACGTGTTCAGAAGCTTCAAAGATGACCCAGCAGGGACCTCATGGAATCGCTCACCCTGGGCATCCTGGTCCTGAGCAATCCCCTGCGAGCCTATCACTGCGGACGTGACAGAGCCTACTTTAGCATTCGCGTCAATCAAAACAATCTGCGGTGTCCAACGGTGCAAGAGCTCTTCAAGATGGGTCCGGAATGCTGCTCTCTCGAGGGGGGGCTTCTTGGAATGGGGGGCGCGCGCAACAACAACCGCCATCTGGATCCCTGGAGCACAAAAGTTGGCCACCCTAACTCTGGCATCAGAAAACAAAACTTTCACATGGCCAGGGGGAAATTTGCTCTTTTTGCCCCAGCGTGGCGTAGGGGGTCTTACGATTAACCTAAAGCTCAACACCTAACCCTGGGCCCCCCTTGCAAGAGCCAGCTCCCGACGAGAGAATGATGAAATCATCTGCGCACCTCGCGCCCTTTGGATTCCTGGCCTCCTGGATGCCCACTATATGCGCGCCAAGAGCCCAGAACTGAAGTCGGAACGCCTTATTTCTGGCCCTGCGGGCCTTGCCAACCTTCCCCCTCGCTTGCTTGGTGGAAGTAGAGCGGGCGTCACTGGGCAACCTTGATCCTAACCTGTGCGCCCCCTGACTTGATCATTCTCGTCTGGGCGAGGTGAGCTATGTGGCTCTCCGCAGCCCTGCAGGAGGGCACAGGCGTACTGACCACAGCTCCCCACTCAGGGAAAGAGGCAGCCGCCTGGGGGTCCAGTTGGGGAACCCACTCCCACTCGCGCCCAATATGGTAGGAGGCAGCATCGACTAGTCCCAGAGGAACACGCGACGGGGGAAGCTTGCCAAGCAAAACATGGCGGGCAATATGGTCAACCAAAGTATTCCAGGGGTGTCCAGAGTGCCCCTTGACGTGGGAGATACTCACAGGCCTGACAACGGACAGCGTGAGCCACATAGAGCACGTGAGGCGAGCAATGGGGTCATCCCGCGGAGGGCCGGCTGAGCCTTGGAGTGCACGGACTGCGTTCATCGAATCCGACTCTATATGGGTGGGATATTCACCTGGCAAAGAGAGCAAGAAAAACAAAACCCACATCACAGCGACAAGCTCGCTGTCCGTGCTGGTAAGTGGGTGGTTCGGCATAGCCCTGCAGGTTCGCGCAACTCTGCCTGCGTGCCTTCCCCCATAAGAGAATCCTTGCCCGTCGCGGTACACTAGAACAAAAGCCCACGCCGCAATGTCATCATCAGCGTCCTTGACGGAACCGTTCGTAAACACATGAAGGAACGAAGGGGAGCAAGGACGTTGTGGGCACAGCCCCAATGCCAAGCTAGCTTCTTCAGGTAATCCTGACAACTGCGATGTATCATGAACTGGGGGGTGGCACGGGGTGGGCCCGAGCGCAGTGCGCCACATAATCCCGATCGGGAAACGTAACTCTGGCGCAAGGTCCTTGGACAGGCAGGGAAAACTCAGGTCCATTGGACGCCAGGCCATCCAGCTGCTGTTGGCTCGTGCTACTTCCAGAAGAACCTCCGCGTAGCGACATGACTAGTGACACATCGGCACAACAAACAAAACTATAAGAGAAGCTTAACATAGAGCTTAGGTGGGAGTTGCAGAGTTGCAAGGCCACTGTGATAATATAAAGATGGGCGGAAGTTTGTGCCAGCGCCATATGACCAAAAATACATATCTTGGAACATTGATCGGGATGAACCCGAAGAGGTGCACATGCGGTCACACCGCGATACTCGTGAGCACAGTCAGGGTTGCTCGTCTGGCTGGCAAACATGGCCCATCACGAACATTCGCAGAAATATATTAAACATCGTGCCCACGGCCGATGCTGGCATTCACCTTGTCCAGCCTGGGTCCCAAAGGTCTGCTTCTCAGGTGTGCGCTTAGTGCTGTCATCCCCCCCATACCTCATGCGCCCCATCACACCCTCCCCCACACTTACACAGCAAACAGCGGAGGCAGGGGCCCACTCGCACAACCCCTCACAGTCGCTGGAGTTATAGTTGGTTAGGAGGTGAGAGAGGCACGAGGGATTCAAGGAGGAGGGGGGAAGGCAAGACCATCCCAATTGCTCAAAAAAGCGAAGCTTGGAGCCCCTAAAACAAACGTGTGATTGAGGTCCTGAGTCGCCTTGATTCCTAGCTTCTCCTGTCATGCCCCGAGGAGAGCGGCAGGAATGCAAATTGCATAAGCTCGACCTAAAATTAAAGAGTGCCCACGTCGAAGATACGTTCCCATCGTCGCCTAGAGGGCGCCCAGGGCTCTCAACGTGGTTCCCGACGTTGGAGCTCTCTGTGCGGCTCCCTGCGACTGAAGTGACATCTGCCCCCCCCTGCTCCTAAACCTCATCCCTGCGCAAGCGGCTGAAAGCGAAGTGGGCACATGCGTCACGCAAAGCACTGAGCGGATGCGTGTGTTTTCCCATGAAACGAGGTGTGCCACGCTGGGCCTGGCGCGGCGGCGTGTGCGTGCGAGTCATACTTACAACTCGAGGTCAACACAATGCAATCGCAACAGGAACAGACAGGCTTGGCAAACTCGGGAATATCTATGCTAGTGATCGTTTTTCGGTGGTGCAATCTGATACCGAATGGATTCCGCCAAGGTTCTCGAGAGCCGTCAGACGTGCAAGACAGAAGCCAGAATACAAAAATCCGCTCCCCGTAAGGGGAAGAAGGAGGTGAAAGGTTTGTGCGCTATGTACACAGGTCCAGGGTGGCCGAGGGCGGGCAAGCTTGAGCCCAGGCAGTTATGGAAACGGGTGATAACTGCAGGGGTGCAACAGACTAAACACTCATAGCAAGACCGTGCATCGCACAACCATGCTAGTGATCGTTTTTCGGTGGTGCAATCTGATACCGAATGGATTCCGCCAAGGTTCTCGAGAGCCGTCAGACGTGCAAGACAGAAGCCAGAATTCAAAAATCCAAACTCTTTGGCATAGTCGAAGTTCTCAGCGCAGCGGTACCCAGACCATTGCCGTACGGAGGTGCGGGAAGGCGTCAACCCTGATGTAGTGCGAGAAAGCCCTGAAGAAGAGAAGGACGCAGCACTGCACATATTACAAGTCAAGTAGGATCTTCGCAAGGAACTCTGCCAGACGATAAGGATATTGGGCGGCCCTCGAGGTCATCGTTTTACCCTCTAGAATCAAATGTTTATGACCAGGACGGAACGAGCAGAAACCGTGCTTCCCGTGGCATCTGAGGCGATCCGGGAAAATGATAGCCAGGTTGCCTGACTCGGTAGGGCAGCCGATGACAATGCGCGTGGATTTCCTCCAATGAGCACCGAAAGCGCACTGATGCAGGTCTATAGCCCACGAGTGCGGAAGAACATGAGCGGCCACATTATCCTGCCGCCACAAGTACGAGCCCATTGGATTCTCCATAGCATAAGGGATCTTGAAATGAACGCACAACCGAATGATGTAGACTGCGACAGATAAACACAAGTTTCCAATCTTCACTGTTTCACGATCATGGGCTCGCAATCGTGGTAGGCCCTGAGGAAACTGGGCACTCCTGACGGGGTACCTGTTCCGGGCCAGCGAGAAGGACGCGCACGGAGGCGCAATCATCACAGCACGAATGAGACCACGGCGAAAATGATCCGCGATGATGCGGAGGTTGGCAGCACTGCACACATCCTGGTCAGCACCCTGCCGAAGGTCTAAGCTGATGGCAGGTACCCCCAGCTTGCGAGCCCACGCGGCGACCCCTCCACCACCGGCGAAGAGATCCAAGATATACGGAGCCTTCTGCGCCTTGAGCACGGCGCAGGCGGCGGCCTTGCTCAGGCCGGGGGGCGCTGGGATGCTGGAACGGGTGCGGGGCGGCCGAGAAGGATGACATCCTCCATCACCCTCAGAGCAGCCACGCAGAACGACTTCGTGAGCTCCGACAGGCCTTCCCACGACTCGTTCAGCCTGCCCGCCTTCTCGTAGCGCTTGACCGAGGTGAGTGTGGCCCAGCGCCCGCGTTTCTGGACCTCCTCTTGAGTCCGGCGGTTCGAGGCCCTGTCCAGGCTTGCCCCGGAGTGTCTCCCCTGGTAGGGCACCGCGTCGACCCCGATGTTGTGAGCCGCCCGCCTGAACAGCGCCAAGAACTGCGGGTAGGTCAGGCCGAGCAGCGGCTGAGACGACCCTCGATCGCGAAGGGCCCGGTAGATGTGATGCATCCAGGCCATCCTTCCTGAATCGATCGGGATCGAGTCGTCCGACGACCCCGTCTTGCTGCGCGCCGTGCCGCTCTCCGGGAAGAGGAGCAGCACCCAGTTGTCCACGGCGTGGCTGCATGGTGGCAGGAACGAGTTCGACGTCAGCCCCAGCATCTCGCCGGGCCGAAGATAGCACTCCACCATGATGAGCACCATCACCCCGGCGAGAGGAGCGCCCAGCCTGGCCAACTCGACCGCGATGCCCGCCCATATCGCGAACACCAAGGGCTTCCGCGATCTTGATGGGCTGAGCCGCTTCCAACCTTTGAGAGTACGAAGGGCACGAGGCATGTAGAGGCCACCAGACTTCCCATAGTCCGGGTGGAAGAACATCATTGCAGCAATGAGCTTCTCTCCACGCCAGCTCTTGACCCCCTCGAGGAAGAGCTTGTTCATGTACTCGACCAACTTTACGTCCAGCACGGCCGACGCGGGCATGGCTGTCAGCAAGAAGCCTGCCCAGGCACAGAACGCGAGGGCGCACTCTCGGTAGGTCTCCAGCGACCTGGCCCCCACCGAGCGCTTCTCCAAGTAGCTCAGCCCCGTGTTGTGGCCGTGCCTCCAGATGTCGCCGCCGTGGGCCTGGATGGCCCTGCGGACGCGAGCTTTGCCCCGAAGCTCGAGGTTCCGGCGCGAGGCGGTCACCACCCGCCGCTCCTCCACATCGCTGCTCTCGTAGCTCTGTGAGGCGCCCGCGTCCACGGCCGCCGCGGGGACGCCTGCGCTTGCTGGAATCAGCTTGCCCGCCGGCGTCTCGAGGAAAGCCTCCACGGTGTCCGTCTGCGCCGGGCAGCGCGGCGGGGCGGCAGCCACGAGCCTCGCATCCAGGCCCTGGGACGTGTCCAGCACACGCGCTCGCCTCGCCGGCGGGGCCGCCGCAGAGCTGCTCGCGCCCGCCCCCGGGCTCAGGGTGCGCACTCTGCAAGGCGCACTCGCCGCCGGCTCCTGCAGCGAGCCCGCGGCCGGCGCCCGCGGCGGCAGGCTCTCGCGCTGCAGCGTCCGCTGGCGGCCCGGCGAGGCCGGCTGGGCCCCCCCCATCGCACTGCCGCGAGGAGCCTGAGGACACGGGACCCGAAGCCTGGTTTGAGCCTAAATGGGATACGAGGGTCTTGGAGCTGTCATATTCTGGATCAAACTTCCGACTGCCTTCATCGCCAGAGTTGAACTCGCTTGGTATCCATCGGACAACAAATCTGATGTTTCTCGCCAGACAGAGCGCAGCAAAACGTCGGACCTGAATTAGCAGCCGAAAATCCCTGGACCTGAAACGACAAAAACAGAGCACTACCGAGAGATTGTCCCCCAGTAGGAGGACGCGGCAGTCTTTGACTGGCTGAGAATGGGCCGCTCGAGAGGCAGCCTTCACCAGTGCTCTGGCCTCAAGCCTCAGAATATCGTCAGCAAAAACCCAGCGATCTGCCATCACGGTCTTCCAGTGGGAATCGTGAAGCAGCTCATGCGGGACCTCGGGGAACGCCGGGTCGCACTCCCAGCGCTCGCTGTTGAGGATGTCCAGCAGCTCGGAGTCGAGCCGCCTCGGCGCCCCCTCGGCGTCGCGGACAACCTCGCCCGTCTCTGAGTTCAAAAGAAACCCGGCACTCTCGAAGGCGTGCTGACGAGCCAGACCAGCGCCCAAACGCCACCGACTCAGCTCCGAGATGCGGCCGACTAGAGCCACCTGGGCAGAGTCGAACTCCGCCTCTGCGACGCCGTATCCGTAGAGGCTGGCGTCCGACGAGTAAACGAAAGGCATCCAGTCGCGGTCCCAGCGAGCCTCGAGCATCACCATCAATCCCAAGAAGCACTCCAGTTCCTCTCGAACAGTGGGCCAAAGGACTGAAAAAGTGTGATAGCTGCTCGTCACGAAAGCGTACACTGCGTGAAAGATAGACAGCAGCTCGCGCCGAACCAAGGCCATGAACGTCATGTGGCCCAGCACCATCTCAAGCTGCCACCCGGCAACCTTGCGCTGCCTGAGGAGACATCGCAGGCCCTTCCGCACGGTTGCGAACCTCTCGTCCGTAGGCCGCGTGCAGAGCCTCGCTCCATCCAGGTGGCAGCCCAGTGTACGACCACCTCCCACGTGAAGTTCAACCTCATGAAACTTGAGATGGTCACGATCGAAATCAGTCTGGGCTTCGTGAAGGGCTGAGCGGACGGCGGTGTCTGACAAGCCAAGGACGCCGGCGCTGTCGACGTACATGAAGTGGCCGAGGTTCTCACTATGTGGCCCGCGGCGAAGGACAAGAGGCGGCCCTCGATCACTGAGCCGCAAGCTCTTTGCCAAGGACGGCTGCCGATCGAGCCGCGACTGGTTGGCCGCCTGCGCGAAGAAGAGCGACCATGAGAAACCCATCGGCAAGCTCTGACTCATGGGCCACACCATCTCTGAGTCGCCGGCCGCCTGACCCTCGATGAGGGTCTCGCCTGTGGCAGAGGCCAGCAGCGGCGGCCAGCAGAAATAGCGCCGAATGTCGCCGTCCAGCTTCATCCGATGGAAGCAGTCGGCGACGTCGCCGACCCCCAGGACAACGCGCAGCTCGCTGAGGTCCCCCTCCTTAAACACCGGCACCTCGATGCGGCCAAGCCCTTCACCTGACAGCAAGTCGACACCAGGCGGGGGACGAAAAAGAGCATTGCTGCGTCTACAGTCCACGATGAGGCGCAGGCGCTCACCATCCTTCTTCTTTACAAAAAACAGTCCAAGAACGCTCAAGGGTCGTCGGGTCAAAGTCACGAGCCCGATCCTGAGCGCTCGTCTCACGAACTTCGCGTAGCTCCGAGGACGTTGGAGCAGCAGAGGGTCAGTATGACAAACAGGAAGTCCATGAAGCTCTCGTATTAGCGCCGCCTCACGAGGGGGAAGCAGATCTTGGTGGAGTACTCCTCGAGAAAAATCCTCGCCTCCGCAAGTAGCATCTGGGCCAGACTGGGGGCGTCCAGGACGCAGTCCGGCAAGCTGACCCGCGAGTACTCGTAGGAGCCCATGCTGGTAGAGCCAAGGGGAGCGTAGCCCGCCTTGCCCTTCAGAAGCTTGGCCAAAGCCTCCTGCTCTGTGATGGCGCTGTCAACATCAATCCAGCGACGAGCCGCCGAGAAGACGCGCTGCTGCACATCGGCCCTGATGAGATCCATCTTACGCTGGCTAACGCTCCCCTCGGGCGCCGTGCCACTGCGATGCTCACCACCGTGCAAGTAATTCAAGCTCTTGCAGGCTGCGTTGCCGTCTCGCAGCCAGCGGCGCCGCTGACCAGGCGTCAGGCCGTCGCACCAGTCGTCCGGGAGCGCCGCCAGCGGGGCTATGGGCAGGCAGGCCGACCCACGGAGCCCCGAACTGCCCTTGGTTCTGCGGGAGACGGTCGGGCACCCGCCTCCCTCGGCCTCGGGCGTCATGTGCCCGGCGGGCGGCGGCCACGGCCCCGCCCGCCTCGACCGCGGCCCTTGCCGGCCGCATCACCTCCCTCAGCGCCGGCCGCGGCGCCGCCGGCAGCTCCAGCGGCGGGCAGGCCGCCAGAGGCGACGGCCGCGGCTGCCGCGCCCGCGCCGTCGGCTGGAGCAGCGCCGGGGACACGGGACCGCATCCGCAGCGCCTCCAGCTCCTGCTCCTCCTTGGACAGTCGGCTGGCATAGCTTCGGAGCGCGTCGGGCACCAAGTCGAGCGGGTTGGTCGTGCCGCCCAGGTGCTTCGCCGCGCCCCAGTTCGCGTTCTCGGCCCCGTGCGCGTAGGCCTCCACATACTGCAACAGCCGCCGCGAGACCACCTCCAACGACGCCAGGGCGCCCATGTTGAGCTGGTCATAGGTCCCCGCCAGGTACAGCACCTCGATCAAGGTCTGCACCTCGTGGTAGGCGCGATCCTTCCTGGTTACGCCCTGCTCCTTGCACCACTCCTGAAACCACATCTTGGGTGTGCCACCATGGCGATACATCTTACGACAAATCTCGAGGCAGGCAGGGGGCCCACGGATGCTCGAGTCCGAGAAGATCTCCTGTGTGCTCTCCTGCACGACCTTCCTCCACTCCTTGAACCTGGCACCGGTCTCGTCGGCGTCGATCCAGCACGTGCGCAAGTCCTCCCTCTCGTGAGTGGCGACGCACTCGGGCCCAAGCCCCCCGCCCTCTGGCTCTGGCGGGGGGGTGGCGGTCCCGCCAGCGCCGGCCTCGCGGCCCGGGAAGAGTCTCTCCTCCAAGGCCTCGCGGGCGGGCCGGAGCTTGTCGGCCGCCACCAGCTTGTCCTCGCGCCACCGCTCCATCGCGTCGTCCGTCACGAACTCGATCGGGAACCACTCGCCCCGCGGGTCCTGGTCGACGCCATACCTGCCCCGGACGACGGCGTTCGGCGACAGTCTCACCTCCAGCCCGAAGTCGGCGCCGCCGTCGAGCGAGCTCAGCACCCAGGCGCCGGGCGGCAGCTCCTCGGGCGGCGGCGGCTGCGGCCCGGTGGCGCCAGCGGCCCCGTCGGCGTCGGCGAGCGGCGCAGCCGCCTCGGCCTCGGCGGGGCGGACCTGCTTGCCACGCAGCCGCCGCTCGACCCTCGGCGCGTCGACTGCCATCACGTCCGGCACTGCGAGGCGGCGACCGGTCCAGGTCACACCTGTCCCGGCCCATGTGGCGGCCGCGTTGCCGTGGTCAGCGATCGCCTCACCGCGGCCCCGCTTGACGACGCTGAGGAGCTCCTCGTCCGTCAGGGGCCGGCTGAAGGCAACCACATTGGTCGTGCCAGGCGGGTACACTCGCTTGCCAGTCCACTTCACCACTGAGGTATAGTCGGCCCGCCCCTCGGGATACAGATGGTTGCCTGCCGTATACACCATCCACTCCGAGAGGTCAGGGGCCGTGGGCCAGCACAGAACACGCTCATGCGTCCAGCCTGGATCCGTCGAATACTGCACCAACACTCGCATGCCAGGCACGGCTCCATCGACGAGCGACATCACGCCACGTGGATCCGCGCCTCTCCGACGGGCTCAAGCCCGCGCCGTGCCGAAACCCGGCCCTCGCACCAGCGACAGCAGCCCCAGCCGACGAAGGCCTGCAGCACGATGACGATCGCGCTCGCCGGCACCACCGGGACCTCGACGGTCGCGGTCACGCCCTCGCCCACCACGCGCAGCGCCTCCGGGGACGCTGGGGTGGGCGCTGGTGGCGCCGGCGGCGCCGGGCAATGGATCTGCGGGTCGAAGGGCGGGCACGGCTCCCGCGTCACGCTGGTGACGGACGAGCTGGTGGAGGCGTCCTCTAGCTCGTGTCCTGGCCCGTCTCGAGGCCAGTCAGGCTCAGGAACCACCGCAGGCCCGAGGAAGCCGTGGGCCGCGAAGCCGACCCAGAAGGCAACTATCGCTCCTGCCGCGGTGGTCGGAGGATGCGCAAGCATACCCGCTTCAAGCTTGAGCCCAGGCAGTTATGGAAACGGGTGATAACTGCAGGGGTGCAACAGACTAAACACTCATAGCAAGACCGTGCATCGCACAACCAAAGCAAACTCAATGCAAAAATCGCGTGTCCCGTCTGAATATGAGCTAGAGCCGGGGAGGGAACGAGCGCACATACGAGGTACCAACCCGCAACGATACCTGTGAACACTCTGAGGCACAAACTCGAGGATACTCATGAAAGGAGAGACTCTTGGGGTCTTGAATTCGGCCGAGCAAGTACCTGCCCCTGTGAAACTCAAGCCCCTGCGCGTTGGAGCTTGCGAGGGGGGCTCGGCACGGCGCCGTCTGCGCCTGCGGCGCAGGCGGCCTCGACCTGCGCAGCTGCTGCTTCGATCTGGCTGCCTGACATCTGCGATGGCTGAGCACTCTGGGGCGAGGCAGCTATCTCTATCACTGGCGGTGAAGTGCACGAATTTGTTGGCGGCTGCAGCAGGGGATCCCCCTGGGAGGCTGATCCCTGAAGGAAAGGTTGAGCCGGCGATATCGGATCCAAGCAATCCAGTGCAGCCACCTGCTCTACTTCGTCTGGTACTGGCCTCATCACTGCTGCACTCTGAGCCTCGCGCTGGCTGGCTGAAATCGGCGTAGAGTGTGGCCCGTATGAAATTGGCGTAGGCTGAGCGGGCGGTGGCGTGGGCGAGCGGGTCGATCCACCTGGCTTCTCGACGTGGCACTCGGGCGAGCTGGGGCAGCGACCATGAGCTGGCGGTGTGACTTCGACGCTGGTCAAACCCACGTTGGCAAAGGTCGCGGTCATCCCCTTCGCCGCGGCTGCGGGTGAGCTCCCCGTGGCTGGCATCGTTCCCGTCGGACCAGGCGTGGGTGCAACTGGCGTCGGTGTGACCGCTGGCGCAGGCGTAGTCGGCTGTTCCCTGAGCTTGGCCCCTTCCACTGCGACAGGCATCGGCGGAGCAAACTCCGACGCCTGCGCAGGGGGCCCCACGGCTGGGATAGGCTGGGCAGCGCTGAGCTTGAGCATGGCCTGGCCCATGCTGAGGACGGTGGTATCCTGACGCTGCTGAGTATTCAGAAGACCCTGTATCATGTTAGTGAGTTGGCTTATCTGTCCATCAATCCTGTTGAGGTCAGCACCTGGCGCAGGGTGCATCGGCGGCGGCGGCGGTGGCATGGTCACGCCTTTGCCGTGGTTCTGCTGACCCTTGGCTGGCATGGCTGCAGGCGGCTGGGGGGGGGCTGCATGGCAGGCGGTGCGCCGAAGGGCGCCCATGTGCCTGCCCTGGGCGCAGCCGGCGGTGGCGCAGTGACAAACTGCGGCGCCGCCATGCCTGGCCCCTGCCACTCGCCAGCAGCTCCATCCTCCTGCATGTCGTCGTCGTCGGTCTCGTAGTGCTCCAGTGCCTTGACCTCGTTGATGTGTTGATTGACCATGTCGAGCGCATATCCCAATTGTTTTCTTCATCCACAATGAGAGCCATGCGCTCGCGCAGTGATCTGAGCCCGTCAACAAAATTGTCTGTTTCTGCTTTTGAGTTGGCCAAGCTGGTCTGATACTTTGGCTGTGAGCTGGATCATATACTTGTATATGCTGATCTCCTTGAGCAATTGATCCGTGGGCCTGTTGGCGGCTTGGGCCGCGATGGCAACTCCCGCTATGGCATCTATATGCTGATACATGCACTTCTTGAAAGCGCGCCGCCTCGTGGTCGGCTGGGGCTGGAGGCCCCTCGAACACGCGGGCAGCTGGGCCAGCGTTGACCAATTCAGCACGGGTGATCGGCATGATGCGAGAAATGCAAGTCTTGGGCGATTTGGGCCTTTGGGCGTCGTCATCCTTACCCTTGCCCTTGCCCGTTTTGCCCTTCTCATGTCGTCCTCGAGAAGCACTGCGGGGCCGAACAAGTGTCCAATCATGAGCAGAACCGTGGCTGCAGTTGCTGTCGAAATGCATGTCACACAAGCACTTCCAATGATGGCCCTTAACATCTCTCTTGCAACGTACACAATTCCATGTCCTTCCTGGGCAGGGCCCCTCAGAGCGACGCGGGTGCCCCATCTGTCTAGAGTGGTGGCCTTGCAGAACTAACTTTGCTTGGGCTAGTCGCAATAATACTCTGGCTCGCGCGCGCGCTGCTCTCTTTCGTCTGCGTTGCGAGGGCTCGGGAAGCTGGCGGCGCCCCGTCGTGAGAAAGAGTTACTGCATGGGAACTAAGCGTGAGTGCGCTCAATAAACAACGCGGAGAACACGCTTAAGTTCCAGGCTGCTCTACCTGGTCACACCCAGATGTACAGAAAAATACAATGTTCACCAAGCCTTGGAGCCCAGATCTCCTCCTCCTCCTCCTCCTCTCTCTTCCTCCTCCTCCTCCTCCTATTTTCTGCAACAAGAAGGAAAGCCGAAATCGCGCGAACACACGCACACAAACACACGCACACACGCAAACACACACAAACACACAGACACACAAACACACAAACACGCAAACACGCAAACACACAAACACACAACCACACAACCACACAATCACACAGGCACACAAACACACAAGCACACAAACACACAATCACACAATCACACAAACACACAAGCACACAAGCACACAAGCACACAAGCACACAAACACACAGACACACAAACACACAAACACACAAACACACAAACGCACAAACACACAAACACACAAACACACAAACACACAAACACACAAACACACAAACACACAAACACACAAACACACAAACACACAACACACAAACACACAAACACACAAACACACAAACACACAAACACACAAACACACAAACACACAAACACACAAACACACAAACACACAAACACACAAACACACGCACACACGCACACGCACACGCACACGCACACGCACACGCACACGCACACGCACACGCACACGCACACGCACACACACACACACGCACACACACACACACACACACTGAACTCCTCCAAGGCCGCGGGGGAAAAGTAAAGCAGCAGCAGCAGCAGCGCCCAGTAGGGCAGCAGCACCGCGTTCCGGCGCAGCTGGCCGCCGCAGCGCGCAGCCCGGCAGCGCAGGCACTGCGATCCACCTGGAGGGCGGTCCGCAGCTGCCGCGCCGTCGCGCGCTGAAGGGCCACGCTGAGCTTGGCGCCCAAGCGCTGCCCCGGGGGCTCTGCCCACCGCCGCAGCCCGCTCCTCGTCGACCAGCTCAGCCTGGTCGCGGGCGAGCTGCCGGAGGTGGCAGAGAGCCGCCTTGCCGCGCAGGCCGCCTGCCTCCAGGGGCAGCGGCAGGAGCGGCCAGGGGTGGCGAGCGCCCGCTGGGTAGCGCCGTTCGTCGGCCTCGGCGGCGCCCGGCGCGTCTGCGTCGCTGGGCGCGGCGTAGCGGACTGTCGCATCTGTGAATGAACGTGGACAGCCCGCCCGCTGCACCTCGGGGTCGCGGGCTGCTTCCTCGCGGCGCGCGCCCAGCGGCGGCCGGCAGCAGGCGCTTCAAGGCCCCGGCGGCGCGCGTCTCGGCGGGCGCGGCGCCGCGCCCCCTGGCAGGCCGCGTGGAACTTTCCGCGCTCGCGGAGGATGCGCCCCCGCTCGGCCCCGATGCCCCTGCTGCGGGCCTTGGGGCCGCCGCCGCAGGGGCACTGGCAAGCGCGGCGCCCCTCATTGCAAAGTGGCCCCTCAGGGCCGGCCCGCGCGCTCGCCAGCGCGCGGGCGGTTCGCGCAGGAAGCCCCTGGCGGCGCAGGGCCCTGCCCCAGGAGCTCTCGCGCGGCGCCGCAGCACTCGTCGTCGCTGATGCGCTGGCCCGCCGCCCCCAGCGCGGCTGGCTGCCGGCTGCCCACGCGGGCCCCCCCGCAAGGGCGCAGCCTCGCCTTGTCCCCGGGGCGGCGGGGGCAGCGCGTCGGTCGGGGCGGAGGGGGGCGGGGCGCAGAAGGCATTGGGCGGGCGGGGGGGGGAAGGGTCGGCGGGGCGGGGCGGCGGGGGGGCGCGACGCCGCAGCGAAGTTGCGGGGGGGGGGGGGCGGGGCGCAGAGGGCGCCGAGCGGGCGGGGAGGGGGGTCGCGGGGGCGGGGCGGCAGGGGCGGCGCGACGCCGCGATGAAGCGGTCGGGGCGGAGGGAAGCGGCGGGGCGCCGTGGGCGCCGGGCGGCCGGGGGGGGGAAGGGGTCGGGGGGGCGGGGCGGCGGGGGCGGGGCGGCGCCGATACGAGGCGGTCGCGGCGGAGGGGGGCGGGGCGCAGACTTCGCTGCGAGGCTGGGGGGGGGGGGCGCGGGGGGGCAGGGCGGCGGGGGCGGCGCGGCGCCGACGTGAAATCGTCGGGGCGGCCGGCGGGGGGGCGGGACTGCGGGGGCGGCGCGACGCCGAGATGCAATTGTCGGGGCGGAGGGGGGCGGGCCCCCCCGGGTAGGAGCGGCGCCGGGAGTGGGTGCTGCGCTTAAATGTAGCGGTCGGGGTGGGGCGCTGGGCGGGGGGCGACGTCGCGCTGATGGTGGCGGCGGCTGGCGCGGGCGCGCGGGCGGAGGGGCGGGGGGGGGGGGGCGCCCGCGCCAGAGGCAGCGAACCGCTGGAGGATGCGGAGAGGTGTTTTCAACGCGGCCATTTCGCGCCCATGTTCCATGTGCATGAGAGAGGCCTCGTGGAACATGTACTCGACGAGCTCCTTTTTTCTTGAAGAGCGCGTGGGCCATCCCTGGCGATTTACAATCGCGCCCGCAGACCCGGCTCACGGCCAGTTTCTCGCCCTTCGGGACGTCGCCCGCCAGGCGGGCCACGCGGAAAGTGTCCAGGATGAAAACGAACAATTCCCTGGCCTTGTCGTCAGAGACAGCCCTTTTGGAGCATGCGAAGCCGATCTTCATGAGACGCGTAGGTTCGCGAAGCTCTGGGATATATGCTTCGGCCAGCGAGAGAGCCGAAGAGCAGGCGCTGTCGAGGACGAAAGTGTGCAAACCTTTCAGCGCCGTGGCAGTTGCGTTGGTGCACGGTTTCCCTTTGAACTGGAGGCCGTAGGCCTTCGGGGCAACCTCCAGCCTCGCCACTGCTTCCGCTCTGTCGAGACTGGCGCGCACGCTTGTCAAGCGGCGCGCTTTTTTCTGCGCGCCGCCAGAAGCTATCTGCGCCAGAGGCAGCGCTCGCAGTAAACATCTTCTCTAAAAAACTCAAGGCCGCCAAGTGGGCCGCGCCCGCATCGGGCAGCGCGCGCGTCCTGATGGGGGCGGACAACGCGGCATTGAACAGATGCCACACGCGGTCCTCGCTGGACTCCTTGAGCGCCTCGCCCATGTCAGAATACCACGTGATCGCCGCCGCGCGGCCCGCGATCGTGGCCAGAGGCTCTGTCAAGCAAACTCCAGGCTTGCCAGGCTCAAGGCGCTGGGCGACATGAGCGTCGACCACCGAGGCGGGGAGAGGCGCGTCGAAGGCCAGGCGCCGCGAGGGCGCGTGCTTGGAGGAGAGGAGGGGCGTCTCCTCCGACCACGCGCTCATGGCACCCTCGAGCTGACTTACGGTGACGTCGTCGATGTCCGCGCAAACCGGGCCCAACATCCACGCCGCCCCCGCTGCCTCGTACTCCTTGGTGCGGGAGATGCTCGCAACCAGGTTGTCGAAATCCATGACCTCGCGAAACGAAGCGAGGTTAGCGCCAGAGGCAGCATCAGTGATGGCCAACGGCGCAATCAAAGAACACTTGGCGGGCGCCGCGAAGGACACCTCGCGCTTGCGAAGCTCCAGGAAGATGACCAAAGCCTGGTCGACGTAGCCCTTCACTTGGCGCACCCAGTCCTTGACAGCACATTGCTGCGTCGACGCGCTCTCCATCTCGAGGAGCTAGCTGATTGATGCGCAGCGGGGCAGGCGGCGCGCCAAAGGCGACGGCTGGCGGCGCGCCAGAGCCAGCGGCGGGCGACGCGCCAGAGGCAGCGGCTGGTGATGCCGCAGCGGCTGGTGACGCGCCAGAGGCAGCGGCTCGAGAGGCCGCAGCGGCTGCGGCTGGTGACGCGCCAGAGGCAGCGGCTGGAGAGGCCGCAGCGGCTGGCGAGGCCGCCGCCGCCTTCTTCGCAGGCGACGCGGTCGCCAAGTCAGCTGCCCTCTTGCCCATGGTGCCTCGGGGAGAGGCTGATGAGAGCCGACGCAGCTGAGAGCCGACACAGCTGATGATGATGATGATCAAAGCCATCAGGGAGGCGCGCGAGAAGCTGAAAACGCACGCCAACGAACGCCTACTTTCCCTAGGGTCTCGTTTAGTTTTCCTAGGGTCATGTTTAGTTGTCCTACGGTCTTGTTCAGTTTTGGTAGGGTCCTGTTTGGTTGTCCTAGGGTCTCGCCTGGTTTTGCTAGGGTCCTATTTGGTTGTCCCAAGGCCTCGTTTAGTTTTGGTAGGATCCTGTTTACTGTTCCGAGGGTCTCGATTTATTTTAGTAGGGGGTCTTTTTTGCTTGTTT